CTTCCTCACTCATAGAAGAAGCTGCTGGAACATTATCAGAATCCAAAGCCTGCAAAGTTTCATAATCTGGTATCGAACAGAAGAAAATGTTGACATAAAACTAAGGGCCTAGGAAAAGTATTAAGAGAACTAAATATAAAGCCATGGTTTGGCAAGTGAAATTTATAATCTCCATGTATTGGTTTTCAAGACATAAAACTCATTCTAGATGGATATAACTACCAAACCTAGGTCATCAAATTCCCGATCAAGAAGTGCAAGCTGAAGTCTGAGGCCTTGAAGGCGCCCTCTTGTTGCTAGGGCTATGGATGGTGGCACATGCAACCGCAATTCAGTATGACCAAGAAGGCCGCTGGCTGCCGCTGCATGAGCCTGTGCTTGAGCTTGAAGTTGTTGACAGGTTGCGTACATCCTTAACGTTGTGGCCATCAAAAAGACGCCAAGAACTAGCCAGAGCTACATGCATCAGTTTGAAAGAAGGATTTTTAACTTCTCATAAAACTACCCAAAGGAACAGCGAACTTGACCAGTAAAACTAACAAACCAATTTACATGCTCAGAGAAAGACAATACCAGGAAATTAGGTGACATCTGGTGCGAGTTCAGTATCATGAATAACAAAAGAACTGGAAGTAAGACAACATATACACAGAAATTAGTAATAACTAACAAAATTACAAACTAATATGACAAAATGGTAAAGATTAAATGTACCTGTGACAAGAAAAGCAAGTGAGTTGGAATTGACAGAACGTGATGCATGAACGCGCTGATACAAAACAGCCAATATCAATACGAATTAATAGATAATAACACCTTTACCCTCTTTTTCCCTAGGAAATTTACACACACAACCCACAATGATTGAACCCCAGAACTCACCCCTCCACCCTTGCTCTGAGATTACATACACAAACCCACCATGGATAAACCACAGAACTCATCCTCCATCCTTATTCTTAAGAGGGAGAAGGTGCAATTGTGTCCAAAGGCAATGGCAACTGATAAAATAGACAGAAAATGAACTGCCCCAACTTTCACTAAAAACTGCACACACAAAATTTCAGAAATACAAGAAATGTACCATTGCACGCCGCTCTGGTATAAATTCCGGGAATCCACTTTCGATATCTGCTCTTGTCCCCCGGAAAACAAAACTCATGTCTGTAGGGTTTAGAAGAGCTCTGCTGAAAATATTAAGTCACTGATTTTCAAGTTCACTGAAATTAAAACGCCAAAATGTTCATTTAGTAAGCGTCATAATTCATAAACCAAAAGAAGCTAGTTTACAGGAAACCATGGTAAAACCAAACTCAAGAGTGCCAATTGAGATGCAATAAACAAATTATGAGTCACAAAAACTTAGACACCATTTTAGCAAATACTGGAATTGACCCACATGTTTTGGAAGAAAACGCATTACACTAAAAATTCCCAGGTAAACAAAGTTGAACCCTTAAATAACGTATAAAAAAAGGTATCAAGCTGTGAAGTCCATAAGAATTCCCTGCTGTTAAGTTTATATAGCGAACTAAACTAAGCAAGCTGATCTAGTTTCCACCACAGAACACAAAAACAAAAATCCAATCTATTATAAATTTCGGATAGAGAATCACTCATCAACAAAACCCTAATCCCAAAAATCCATTCCCTTAACTACACAATGAACAAAAAAATAAATTAGTCTTCACATAAAAGCAGTAATTCAGGTAGCGATCTCACGCTGGGAAACATTAAGAATAACAGAGGCTGATTGGAAGAAGCTTTCAAAAGCCTGTAATTAAGAAAATTAAAGCAATCACAGAACAAAGACGGGACAGAAAATGTAAAAAGATGGAGAATTACCAAAAAGAAATTACTTCAGATGGTTCAGATCCCGGGAAACGGCGGCGTTATCTTGAAAACGCCATGCAACGTCTCTGCGGGAGATGAAAGAGCGAGTTGCAATGTACAGAGAGATCTGATTCGACTCGGACGCGTTTGCCGCGGAAGCTTTAAAGCTTTGTCTATCGTCACTGTTCGGTTAAATCTAAGATTAGTTAAATTACTATTGCCGTTACGACACCGTTTCTTCTGGGTCGTCTTTAACGGCTTCTTTGACTGCGACATTTGACTCCATTCGAGGAGTTTCTAGCTTCCACACACCACATCCCCTAACAAAACGAACCGTTTTGCATATGCGAAATCATATTTATTTGTTACTCACGAGCACGACTCTTTTTTTTCAATCCTTTGTAAATGAATTTGGGAAATGATCATTTGTAACAGTTATTGTATTCTGTCTAAAATTAAGGAAATTTTATTGGTGTTATAAAAAAAAATCCATTATGCAATTTCACCAACATCATTTTATAAGAGAGGACCGCATGATGTTTGAAGAGTTTGTTATGATAAGTGGATGGTGTAAACTATGTTGTTGATCACTCCATTAATGAATTATATGCACTAATATACATGACTTCACGATTAATATCCAAGTGTGTGTGTTTAGAAGTGGAATGATGATAGTTGAACGTATGCCCAGCGTGTGTGTGTGATCGAGAGCATGATCATGTTTAGAAGTGAAATGATGATAGTTGAACGCATGCCCGGCCCTGAACAGGGGCAGTCAGTGCAACTGCCCTGGGGCCATTATTCAAGTGGGCCCAATTTTTTTTATTTTATAAGTGTTATAGTGTTATATTATATTATCATAAACTGATTTAATATTTTTGAGAAGAAAAAAAAAAAGGCGTTCACGTTATGGAAGAATGCACATCTCTTCCGCTCCTAAAGAACCCTTTTGCGCTACCCATTCCACTCATCTAGGTTAACATTATCTATTCTAATTTTACTTATCCTTCTTCCTTTTCTCCTTCTCATCTCATCTAATTAAGCCTCTCCTACTAGTTCCAGAGTTGTGAATCCCTAAATTAATTTTTCTGGTGGTAGATTAGGGAGATTCCAAAATTCAAAGTGTGGGCTTTTGTTCAGTGCAAAATTGGTCCTTGTAGAAATCAATTGAAGGTAATTTTTCATGATTTGATATCAAATGAAAAGGAAAATATAATAATTATTTTTTTGTAGATTCATGAGTTACACATTCTCTTTGCATGAATTCTTCTAAGCTCCAATTGATTGCAAATTTGGAAATATCAAGTTTGTTGATGTGGAGGGGGATTTCTCAAATCCCACGGTATGTTGTTCTTTGTTTATTCTTTGAAGTATTAAAATTGCATTGTTTATGTTTGCAAGTAGCAATGTTCCCTAAAAAACAACTATCTAGAAGTCAAAATAGAAAAAAGAAAAAGAGAGAGAGAAGAATTAACTAAATCTCAAATGTTCTTAACAAATCAAATAGTTCGCTTGATAACTCAACTGAAGATTTAGTAAATGAATCTAAACAGCAAAATCATGTTGAAGAATTCATAGAAATTGATAATGATTTAGGCAATGAATCTGAATAACAAAATCATGTTACAACTATCTAGAAGTCAAAATAGAAAAAAGAAAAAGAGAGAGAGAAGAATTAACTAAATCTCAAATGTTCTTAACAAATCAAATAGTTCGCTTAATAACTCAACTGAAGATTTAGTAAATGAATCTAAACAGCAAAATCATGTTGAAGAATTCATAGGAATTGATAATGATTTAGGCAATGAATCTGAATAACAAAATCATGTTGAAGTTTGAACATGTTAGATCTTGGTTGAAAATGAGAGTGAATCCATCACTAACTTTAAATAAATAGAAGTTATATATAGGGGCGTAATTTTTATTTTTGCCCTGGCCCTGAAAAATTCAAGATCGACCCTGGTTCAACTGGGGGGTTGTACCATTTCAGCTAGAAACCCAATAGTAAGGCCATATCTAATAATGCCAAACTCAAAATATCAGGCCCAAATTCTTATATTTAAGTCCAAATGAACATGGCCCATTATTGCTATTCCATAATTAATTCACAAAATTATAACTAAAGCCGAAAGATGGAGATGAAAATTGATGTATGATATGACCCCCTGACCTGAACTGTATATTGCGGCTCTCAAAAGCTTGAAAGATTCAGTGCCAGAACCTGAGATCATTTAGAATCCACCATAATAAACTGCAGTGCGACCCCATGACTCTTGATAGACCAGCAATTTATGGACCCTTCCAATCATGCACCTTCTTTGGTCCCACAGAAAAAAAAAACCCAAATCAAACCTTTGGAGATGGACTCTTGGGCAATGGACCCTGCTATATCTTTCAATCTTCTGTATCCTCTCCATCAAAACCCACCTGCCCTCACCATTAAAACAAATAAAACAAACCCACTTCACCAAACGTATTACCCACAGAGATCCAGAGAATCTCACAGTTTTGGACAAACCAAAAAAATTTAAAAAAAAATTTAAAATTTATTACTAAGATAGCAACAACAACAACGAGAAACACTCTCATACAACAGGAATAACATTTTTTGCTATCCCCAATCAATAACTCAACGACACATTAATTAATTTTTTCACATGTCATTGTGTTATTAATCGGGATGACAAAACAGTGCTATAGTTACAAGAAAGTATTTTTAACAACAGCAGCTGAACACAGTACAAACTAATCCTGATATTTACCCTATTTTCCATCCATGACCACATACTATCTGAAGATTCTGAACCAAATGGGCCCACAAACTCAGCCAATGTGGTGGGCCCTTGATCAATGTGACCCAAAAACCCACAAAAATTTTGCCAGCTAGGGGGCCCCAGCTAGACCCCTAATCCAAGTCTTTGACTTGCAAGATCACACCTAACTTCAGCCACTCCCACTCTGGATTTCACCAAGTCAAACTCCATCCACACGTTTTGCTGATGGTGATGACCAATCACGAACGCCTCGATGCCTAGCAAGTCAGAGTTTCCGAATGTGAAGCAGTACACCGAATCACTACCCCTCACCATTCCCGGTACCCGATACAACAGCCTCTCACCCGATACGCTCATCTCGGCCCCCTGAAACATTAAGGTCACCGTTGGCAGCTGGGGCAGACTCGGCCGGTTCATCGGGACTTGGTAGCACAAATCCATGGCTCCTTGGAAAACGAAATTCGGGTCGTTCAAAACTCTCAAAACCGGTTTGGTTTGCTGAATGAACTCGTTTTTTAGCGCGGTGTAAACCGGACCGAGTAGGAACGTGAACTGGGTTCCCGAGTCGACCATTGTCTGACCCGCCCCGGTATGGTCCGGTACGAAAACCGATTTCGGAAGCGGTAACACTTTGCCCGAAACTCTGATCCCCTCGAGCTGGACGGTGTAAGCGACCCGGTCGAAGTACGGCAATGGGGTGGATATTTGGACCAAAGGGGTGTAGTTCAAGGGACGGAGCCAAGCGAATTTCGTTTCCCCAAAAAGTAGAATACCGGACGAGTCACGACCCGATATGCAGTACGAAAATTTCGGGAACCCCATTTGGGTAACGAAGGATAACGACCCGCGGTTCATACCCATTAACCCGGTGGTCTTGGCGTCTTCCTCCGAGTTGGAACTGAACCCGGAATCCATGCACCCGAATATCGTACCGGGTTGCGTGGACAGCCCGAGACCGAAAGTTTCGGATGCGAGGTTGCCTTCAATGGAAGAAGCGTCGGCGTAGGAGAGAGTGGCGTGGCAGAGCTTTTTGGTGTCGCAGGAAACGGGTATGGAGAAGTCTCGGGTTCGGGTCCGGCAAACGGGCGAAGAGCAAGGTATGGGAGAATAAGATTTAGAGGCGAGCGGGTTGAAAACAGAGTTCAAGTTTGGAGCTTTCTTGCAGTGGAGCCAAGAGAGCTCACTGCCTGTGTCGAGGACCATGGTAACCTTCTGTGGGGGCGAGCCTACGGAGAGTTGGATTGTTAAGGTGACGTTGTGGTGGAAAGAGAGCTTGTTTGTTGAATGTGGGGCAAACCCATGTGGAAGTGTCTCTGTTTTGAGAGGTAGAATGAGTGTTTGTGGTTTTGAAGCAGAGAAACAGAGTGTGCAGTGGGTGAAGAAGCAGAGAAGAAGAAGAAGAAGAGGAAGAACAATGGGCATGGTTTATTTATGATTTTTTTTTTTTTTTTTAAAAGATGAAAAAATACAGATGGGAAAATCAAATGCAAATTCAAACGAATGGTTTGGGTTGGTTTTGAGTTGGGATTTGAATGCTTTTATGCAGAGGGTTTTGAGAGTGTTTGTGGTTGCGTTTGGTGGTGTTGCTTTGAGAGAGATTGAGAGAGTTGTGGTGGTGGCGGGGTCTTTGTATTGTGTATTTGGTGCGTATGTGCAGTGAAATGAAAGCTACTCTTTCTGGTTTTTTAAATACTAGAAGCTAGCTGTGTGAATAATGACATGCTCTTTGGATTTTGGTTTAAGAAATTTGTTACATGCAAAGAATATGATGATGTTATGTATGATCCAATCAGAAGTTTTGATTCTCTCTCTCTCTCTCTCTCAGAGTTGATCTTGATTCTTTCACATAATATTTTGGTCTTTTACTTATGTTTTTACTGCATTTTGGCTTCACGTTAGAGGGAAATACAATCACTAATCAAATATTAAATTGGGAGATTTCATCCATGTATTAAATATTAATGATCGACAGCTTGCTTTGCTTTTCTACTGGATTTGCTTTGCAATTCGCTTGTTTTCCACGAGTCATGAATATATACACTGTGCTTAATTCTTTGCTTCCTCATTGATTAAGCTCCGAATCCATCAATCCAAAAAAGGGATTAATTCCAACCCTTCACTTGTCATTGGTAATAGCGCATCAGAAACAGTCATAAGATTCTACTACCTGATTAGTCGACGTGTTATAATGTGAATAGATGACTGCGATGATGTAAAATAGATACACATGTTATAACATGAATATGCTAAAATCATCACGTGACAATATGACCATCCATTATGCATATAGATTCAATTGTAAGCTTCCATCGAGAATATATGGAAGACATAGTTCATTTTAATACTGTACCACTTTAATATTTTTATTTCTTTTGCTTTCACCTACTTTTCTGTATAAGATTTAAGAAATCCTAA